AAAAGGAACCATGGGTCTATGTCGATTATTTTTTGCCTGTTACAAACATATGCACAAAGACATAATACCCTGTACCACAGTGTGGTGAAGGATATAAAAATCCACGACTTGTTGTCTACTTAAAAAAAATTTAATCCAAATTTCTTTTATAGCCTCAAATATTTTTAAAATTAGAGTGTCGGTTGTTCCTAAAAAATTTTTTAATCAACACTTTTGCTGCTGTTTAAAAAAATATATATTTTTTTTTGAATCCATACTTCGAAAAAATATGTTTGAAATTTGTATAAGTAAATTATTAATTGTTTTAATTTTCTAAATTTTGAAACCCTTCAGAAAAAATATATATTTCTTTTTTTGTCTGTCAAATATTTTTTCGTTAAATTTTTAAAAATTACAAAATTAAAATTTCTTTTCCTTACCAATAGAAATTATTGCAGCAGTAATCCTTTGTTTTCATTTTCTATCATTCGTTCGTTGTTTTCAAAAAAAAATATTATCCAGTCAACACTCCATATAAGTAGCTAAATGAGCTTTGAACAAAATTATTCTTCACAATATAGATTGTTTATTTCACTATTTAATTAATTATTAAGAATTTGCCACTTTAAAAAGAAAAATATTTTTATTATAATTTTTTTTTTTTCAATTTCATAAAAAAATATTTATGCAACCACTTGAGATTTTTTTGTTGCCAGCTCACACATGAAATTCTTTACATTTTTACAATTTCATTTTGAGGATGTATGCCAAGTGCGAAAAAAAAATTACCTTTATTTTGTGATGATGATTTTTTATCAACTTAATTTTTGTTTTTTTTTCGGTTAATTAACAATAAATTTGTTATCTTAAAACATTTGTTGTTGTTATCATTGTTATATTATTTTCTTCTCATTCTCAATAACTCTTCTGGTTTTCATCTGTTGAAATGGATGAAAAACATTCACACACAAACATACACTCCCCACACTCTCACATCGCACTTGTTTGCCGCAAAAATATACGAATATTTTTTTTAATTGTATTTTTTATTTTATAAAACAACAAAAATGTACGGTTACACGCATACATGCACACGCGCTCAGAATACCAAACGTTCCAATTTTTTTTTATTTTTTGTTTTAATATCAAAAAAATAATTGTTAACTGAAAAACAAATGGCATACAAATATTTTATTTGTTTTATTTTCAACTGGCGTTCGCAAAAGTTAAGGTATTAACAATTGTGGTTTTCGTTGTTGTTGCTGTTGTTGTTTTTCTATTTATTTTGTTTTCTTTCTTTTAGAATTATTTAAATTTCATTTCTAATTAGATTCTATTTTGCACACTTTAACTTCACTATTTGTTTTTGTTTTTTAATTGAATAACATTATTCTCTTGTTTACACACACTCACTTGCTCTCTCACTCATTAAAGGAAGCCCTTCTCTTCAACAAAACACAAATGTCTTTTCTATTATGTTTTATTTCCGTATTTCGTATAAATTTTTCATTTACTAATATTTTCCGAAAAACACTTTTCACGCCCGTTTTAAATCAAAAACACAAATTCGTTACTTATTTTTATTTATCGTTGTCGCATAACCATCCACAACCCGTTCAAGACATCCGCACGCTTCAATACGTTGTTGTTTAATGAATGATCAACTACCTGAGTACTCTGTAGTCTATCTGTGTTTATTTAATTATCATTGAGATGTGTGTGCGAGGCTGGCGGCTGCTGGCAGCACCAACAGATGATCATGATCATGTTTGTTTGTATGGATGGAGCTTGTCAAAAATGCACATTGGGTGCTCGCTCTAACTAGCGCCACTCGCACACACACACACACACTCTTCTCAATAACAGAGAGATATAACCCCACCATACATAAACATATGTTTGTTTATTCTCTCTCTCTCGCACTCGGAGAAGGGATAACCCCAAAGAGAGCAGGTTTGTTTACATTTGTTTGCCACCCAAAACAAAAAGGAATGAATATTTTGGAGGGAAAATATAAAGAGGCAAACAGCAAATTAGTATTTCTATAGAAAATAATCAATTAGAAATGGAAAAGTGATGGTTTTTATTGGTAAAATGATAGAAATGGTTAAATTAAATGTGAAATTATTAAATAAACTCTTGAATTATTGAATGTAACTGCAGTATAATCAATTAGATCAAATAATATAACAATTCGATGACCCAAGAAGAAGAAATTGACATTTTTTGGCAAAAAATTGGATACCCAAGCGTTAAAGGTAATTGTTATTCGATTCAAAAAAAAAAAAAATAACAAAAATTATTAATATTGAAATCTTCATATTTAGGTATTTTCGTATCAAATAAGACATCCTAAAAATTAGCACAAAAGCAGTGTCAGTGGCCATTAATAATTGAAAACAATGTGGCACAAAATATCATAAACTCATTGGGAGGTTTTGTGTTCCATAGGACAGTGAAAAGACTCATAACCCAAAATATGTAAGCAAAACGGAATTCATAAATATTAATTTAAGAAATGGTGAACTATATCCGTATATTTCTTTTTTAAATTTTCTCTTTTAAGTACAACATTTGTAGGTGTATTATATACCCATAAATACACATGAAGATCGGTTTAAAGTTATTAATGGTAATAATTAAATTAATTAATTAATTGGTGAAAAATTTTTTGAGCAAAAGTATAGTCGGTCAACAGTATTGGTGACTACAGTGCGCACCGATTTAAAAAATACAATTTTGAAAAATATCGTTTGAATTGTTTTGTTTTTTATATAAATACTAACAAACCACACAACGCGCTCTACACTGGATACTCTTATATAGTTTTTGTCAACATTTTTTGCAAACGAATTGAGTTCATAAAAAATTCGATTGTTTGAGTGTGGATATAACCACTTAACTATAAATTAAACGCATGTAATAATTTTTAAACAATTATGGAATTCTGAACCATATTTTGTGAGTATTTTATTCAATAATTCAATTAGACTTGTAATAATTCATACTATTTCAGAATATTTTAAGAGGATAATTTAATATAAACAGATCGAGAAGTATCGATAGATTTGGTAAAGTTTTTATGTGGATTTCAACATCCTATTTATAAACCAGTGAGCGCTGCAGGGTGGACAGGGCCGATCATATTATACCCTATGAACTTTAAATTACTATGTCAATATACATACTTCCCATATCCGGCCTCTTCTAGAATTAATGTCAACCATCCCACAATCATAAACTGAAAAGTTTTCTGCATCATATTTTCCCGTATAATATGCAATTTTAGTCTCTTTTCACACAAAAGTTTTGATCAATTTGGCCCTGATTTTCATCAAAAATCGTAAAATTTCGTGACATTCAGGTCATAATAGTGGCCTCTAAAGATACTAGAAAAACAAACAAAATTAACATTTTGGTTTATTTTAGACCCCAAAATAATAATACGATCCCCAGTAAAATCTCGTCCTGAGCCATAACCACCAGATCTTTATGGAAAAATTCGTAGCCATCAGTGAGACATTGAGATTAAGTTTATATGGGTGCTATATCAAAACGTCGGCCGACCAAAATACCTAATAATGGAGATCGCTTCCACGACACGATTGATCCGAAATGATCACCTCAGCTCATTGTGTTAAAGCAATATTCCGAGACTTTAACCAATATTGAAATTAGTTGGTAGGGAAGCAATGAAAAATCTAAATATAAAATTACAGCTAATTTGGTCGATAACTGTGCCCAGACTCCAAAAATATATTGCAATTTGGGAGGTAGCGTTATATGGGGGCTATCCCAAAAAGAAGACCAACAATGATAATTTTTGGTAGGATGATTTGGTATCCTTTGAGAACCCAAATTATGAAATTACAGCCAACTCGGTTGTAAAACCATGCCAATAAATCCGACTAGAATTTTTTTCAATCCGCGATAAAAAAAAATAAGGACATTTCCATGTCGCTTATAAAATAGTTAAAAATGCACGCTTTTTGTAACATTAACCCTTTGATTTTTTTAATTTATTTTCTCCCTTTTTTTTGACGCTATAAAGAAAACTAAAAATCTACATTTGCATTAAAATTCAATCAGGGAATGTTTATAGAAAATCCTGATGATAACACCAACACAACCCTTCAATGAGGTAAGTATAAAAACGGCAGAGCCTTCTATTAGGCGGTAATATAACAAATTAAGGTTAAAGCTATTATAAAAGCGTTTCTTTAATTGTTTTTAATTTAAATTTGGAAAAATGTAGCATATTTTTAGGCGAATCAAATATTTATAGGAAATATACCCTAGTAGGAAATATGCCTCTACTGTAATAGGACTTCATCAGCTGTTTGTGTTTTTCATATATATTTATATTGAAATATCCCAGCTCTTTCCATTAATATTTTATTATTCTTTTTCTGATTTTTTATAGAAAATTTTTTTTAAAGTTTCTATTTTTCTTGAAATTTTAAATTTTACTTTGATTCATTTTGTGTTTCCCCATATGCTTTTTAGATTTTTATAGGATACAGTTTTCAATGTTTATCGATTTTCTTTATTAATATGTTTCTATGAAAACATAAATATTCGTTTGTTTAATTAAAAATTGATTATCAAAGATCAAATATACAATTGTCCAACTACGACAATTATTTTGACAAATATATATAGGCAATGACCTCTAGCATCATATTTTAAAATTACATTTTATTAAATATACAATTTCTTGTGGTTTGTAAAAAAATACAAATTGTAAAAAATATTTGATACATTTTGTACATACTATAAATATGTATAAGAGATTTGTAAATAAGGCAAAATCGTGTGTATTTGTTTTTCTTTTTTTTCATTTTGGATAATTACCCAAATGGACGGAATGTAACATTAGTCTCATTCTTTGATAATAGAGAAATATTGGATTGTTTTTATCTTAAATACTATGCGTCTTAGTTGCTCTTCATTTTTTTTTGGACGTAAAATGCAATATTTTGTTAATATAAATTAACTAATAAACCAGGCTAGCTGCAATTATTCGATTTTTCTATGGCATTAGGAGCTCAATATTTGGATTTTGTATTTCCAAAAATATTTGATATTGAGAGAAGACACATAGCCAACAATAGAACTGGAAAGAAGGAATGGAAGAGATATATAATTTAGATCTAGTTGATGTAAGTAAATTAATGGCAAATTATGCTTACATTGTAGGACATCCAAACGAATAATAGAAGAGCGGAAAATGTTTGTTCCAACTGCAAGATGAGAAAAGGGATTATTATTTGTATAAATAGTAGGGGATTATTTTATTTCCTTACATAAATATAATAACCACCAATGAGCCACAAACCAAAGACCAGCTGGAACAAAATGCCAACACCAACAAGTATCAACCAGGGTAAAAGCCAACCTCTTGTGCTGCAAAGTAAAAAAAAAACGAAAAAAGAATTAGAAATAATCAAAAGAGATTCACATGTACCCCATAAAATTCTCATCAAACCCTATGTCTGGAACTTTATTTTGGGGAAATTAAAAACAATATGTGGTTAAGATTACCCACGTGTACATTATCAACCGTCGTTTAATAAATTTTGACGATTCCATCAATACAAATCGTTTATGAAAGAATCCCAGGTCTCAAATAAACGCTCACATCAACTCATCTATAAACACTTCCTGACGTCAGCTCATTTCTATAGCTTCCTGACCTACAGCTCGTCTATAAACTCTCTTGCTTCAGCTCAATTCAGTTCTTCTAGGAACGACTCCTTTGTTTCAACCCGTTTTTAAAACAAACATCAGCTTGTCTATGAAAGGCTTCCTGTTTTCTAATCGTCTACAAAAGACTCCCCTCAGCACGTATATAAAGACTTCAGTTGGTCTGTAAAGACTCGGTGACTTCAGCTCGTCTATAAAGGCTGCCTGGCTTTAGCTCATCTATAAAGAATCCTGTCAGCTCGTCTATGAAAGAATTGATTCAGTTTGTCTTCCTTCAACTCGTTCATGAAGACTCCCTTCAGCATGAACACTCAATTTCGACTATGAAAGACTCCCTTCAGCTCGTCTATGAAAGAGTCCCTTCAGCTCGTCTATGAAAGACTCCCTTCAGCTCGTCTATGACAGACTCCCTTCAGCTCGTTTATCAAAGACTCCCTTCAGCTCGTCTATGAAAGACTTCCTTCAGCTCGTTTATCAAAGACTCCCTTCAGCTCGTCTATGAAAGACTCCCTTCAGCTCGTCTATGAAAGCCTCCCTTCAGCTCGTCTATGAAAGACTCCCTTCAGCTCGTCTATGAAAGACTCCCTTCAGCTCGATTTCAGAGACTTCTTTCATAAAAGTCTTCCTATGAAAGTCTGCATAGCATTATCATGCCTATGAAGTACCCACTCTTCAGGAAATACTCCCTTATCTCGTTTTTCGGTCCATCATTTGTAATTTATGAAAAATTATTATTTTAATTTATATATTCTCACCTGATCTTAATCCCATAGTACACCAAATACGACGAGATAATAACCATAATAAAATAAAATATAAAAAATCCACCCACAATGGGCATGGAAGATCTGATGTCTGTTTCAAACAGTGGTGAATACAATTGTGCCGAATCTCCACCCGAAAGCATGTAGGCAATCTGAGAAAAAATACAACATTTAATTAATAAAAGAAATTAAACTCTATTGCCAACGAGCTTACCATAGTAATAAATACCACCGATATGGCAGCCGTATAAGCTGCCACCGCATAACTTCCAGTCTTAACATTGTTCGACCAAATAATTGGGGACCAGCAAGATTCTAAGACGGGCATGATTGTTAACTAAAAGAAAATAAAAGAAATGAATGACATTTAAAACTCACAAATCATGTTAAAAGAAAATTGTCCACAATGCTTTCATGCCTTAGCAGCAGTAAGTCAGCCACCCAACACAACAAATTCCAATTTGATATCGTCTTGCTTGCTATGTTGTTTTTGTTATTTCTCACTCGCTGACACAGGCACGCCCTGATCACCAATTATCGTCAAAAGCCAAGTTTTCTGCTTCTGCTTACTTGAGTCTCCATTCAAATTTTTATAATTACCTTTTATTTCGTTCGATTCTTTTGATATTTATTGATAAATGTCTTCAATTTTTATTTTCATTTAATTTTCTTAAATTAATACGGCGTTTTAATTGTGGTTTTTAATGTTATATTGCACGGAATGTAAACAAATTAATTGAAACTGTACAAAGCCTCTCTTCATGACGACTCATCTACTCTCTTATTGGGTTCTCGTGTGCTTGTTCTTCTTCTCATTTAATTGTAATGTTGCCACATGTATGGTGGGTAACATTAATATATCGATTATTTTACAGCCGTTATAACAATCGATAAACATAATTGAAATTTCGTATTTGCATATTATGGGATAAGGTTTACATGGCATGTATTTTATTTAAAGAGGTTATTTAAATTGTCGTTTAAAAGAAAATAGATTAAAAAATGTTTTTATGGCATGTATCTAGTGTTACCCCAATGATACCCAATAATGTATCCTCATAAAAATGCTGAAGGCCAGGGAGTTTTTCACAGACAAGCTGAAGCCGAGAGTCTTTCAGTGCAGAGAGAATTTTATATTTGGCTTGTTTTCGTTCTGCAAGAATCTACTAGATGTTACTATTTTCTTCGATAACATGAGGAAAAATTCGTTATCGTAGTAAAAAGTAGTAGATTCTTGCAGTACGGGAACAGACCAATTTTTATTTTTCAAGAGTATCTGGAACGTATTCTTGTTATAGACAAAATGAAGACGAAAGAGTTTCATAGGCAAGCTGAAGACCTGGGACCCTTTCATAGACAATGTAAAGCCAGTGAGTCTTTCGTAGAAGAGCAGATTAAAAGGATTATTTTATAGATGCTCTGAGACCAGGGATTTTTTCTCAGGCGAGCAGGAGCCGGGAGACTTTTATAGACGAGCTGAAACCGTGGAAACCAAATTGGAAACGCAGCTACTTCCACTGGGAGCAGCCACAAATTTTCCGGAGTAAGTTGAGTAGACTAGACATTACGAATTAAGGCTGTTGCACCAATCCACAACGTCAGCTGACGTCGTTCTGCTGCGATGGGTGGGTAAGGAGCCCCGAGGAATTCTCTTCATATCTACTTGATCTAGAGGCTACCTTTTATAACGTTAGACCTCTCACTTTAGACATGATTCAGATCCTTCCTGACACGCCTGGGTGGTATTTTATCCACCATATGATGATTAGAATAATTCTCCCTGAAGCACCCAAGAGGTATTGCAACGAAAGCAATGCTGTTGTAAGGAAAGGATATTCGTCTATTTATGAAGATGCTCCACAGGTGTCACTAGGAGGTCACCGACAGGTGTAAATAATTATCCATTGTTTGGCACTAGAATTTGCGTCTTCCAAGGACTTGTGGCCTTGATCTTTTTCTATTACTATATTTTATCTTTAATTTTATAGTACATTTACATTATAACGGTTTTCGTTAACCCAGTGGGTTTCAATTGTCAATTCCATTGTATATATGTCATATAAATCCTCATAGAGTAGGTTAACCCGGTAAAAAGTTCTAATGTAAATGCCGTTTTAATTTATAGTTCTTACGTTTGGTTGACAATGCCAGTTATGATATTCTCTGTCAATGCTTTTGTTCATTTGCTCATTGTGTGCCTCGAAATATTCGATTACGATCATGATAACATAATTAAGATGGAGTTTTGAGTGTTAAATTTCCCGTAATTTGAAGACACGACCTCAAACCCACTTAGCTATGGCTATTACCCCATATAATTGTCCAAGTAATAATGTTTCCATCAATTTTCGGAGTTTTGAAGATTTCAGGCGAATTTGACATTTTGGGTTGACTTTAAGCGGTATATCTTCCTACCAAAAATACCTTTATGGTCCATCTTTAGGTATGTCCTCCAATATAAAGGTCCCACCGCATTATATTATCGGTATTTTAAAGTTTCAGACATGTGGTATGTTCCCGTAATGCAAGAATCTACTATTTTTTACTCCGATAACACTTTTTTCCTTTATAATATCGAAGAAAATAGTAAAATCGAGTAGATTCTTGCAGTACGGGAACAGACCAATGATATTCAACTCTTTTTTGATATTTTGGTAACTCGATAATCTTTCCATTACAAATTGTCAATATCTATCCATTTTTATGTATTTTCAGGATTTTAGGAACTTTTGACAATAGCAAATTCGATATTTTGGGTTCTTGTTAAGTGACAAATCTTCCTAGCAAAAAATATCATTATGGATTCATCTTTAGGTATGCCACCTATATCAAGATCCCACATATTATCATTATTTAGATCGCCCTAGGCGTATTTTCTAAAAGAAGTGACTTTAGTTTTCGTATTCTGCGTTACTGATGAAGGAAAAACTCTTGTTGGCAAGCATAGGTACCGCCTCATTAAAGTTAGTTTTATGGTTCGGGCGCATTATCCAACTGAAGTGAAGATAACATCTTTTTCGCAGAAAATTTCAATATTGAATCATGTTTTGGTACATTCCATGTTAAGATCCCACATATTTTGGATATTTTTCTGTCCGATACTTCTCCTATAAAGATTGTAGAAATCCTCCTGAATCCATGTTTTGGCATATCTCCGTTTTAAAGGTCCAATCCGATGTTATATATTTTTAATGCCCACCTCATTACAAGTTTGGTCCAACTGATAAACGTTTTCAAGGCAAATCTCCTCTTTATTATATGTCTGCTCCAGAACCTTCAAGAATGTACAAGTTTTTAGTATGATAACAATCTTTTTAAGGTAAACATCCCATAATTTCTCTCAAATAAATTACATTTTTCTCCTTAATAAAAAATAAAAAGTCTTATTGGAATGTCTTGCTTTTAAAATTTAGACAACCCCCAACATTTTGTCTAAATCCAATTTATACGGGTGTGAACCTAATTTAATTTTTCGGAGTAATTAACTGCGATTTTTCTCTATTCCATAATAATCGAAGTGTACGCGTGTTCGTTTTTTCCACACAAAAAATCGATTTATCGATTAGTTCACCAGTCGACTGCCTTAACCCTATCATTTGATTGTTCGAATGTTCGTGTTAATAGAAAGACGTCGTAATTTGTGAAGTGTCAATCGAAGGGAAAACTGAAATAACCCCCCGAGAAAAAAGGCAAAGACTGAATTTAAATTTTTTTTTGGATTAGAAAAAGAAAGAAGCAAAAAACAATTGCAAAATACGTTTTGGAAAAAATAGAAGTTTCGAATTTCGTTAATTTGCCAAGCAAAAGCAACGATTTGAAAGGAAATATTTTGCATTGCATTTTGGTGTGTGCGTGTGGTTGTTATATTTTATTTGATATTGTTACTCGCCCCGAAAAAAAATAAAGAAAATCTCGGAAATCTGCCATTTTACGAAGAAAAGTTGAAAGAAGAAAGTCGAAAAGGTCTCAATTGTTCGCAGTCTCGGGCAGCAAAGCACAACCGCAGCAACAACAACACAATTTTAATTTTGTGAACTTTTTGGTGAAGGAAAATGTCGACTCCCGCACGCAGACGTTTAATGAGAGATTTTAAAAGGTATGTAGAATTTCATCATTTCTAATGGAAATTAAGCAACGAAATATGCAGGCCAAAGGATATAATTGTGAAAATATTCGTTTTCTTTTATGAAATCATTAATTTGTGGAAGCAAAAAACAAACTGTTCAAATAAATTACGTGTAATTTTGGCTTTAGTTTTCGTTTTTCGTCTTGTGTTGTAATTTCTTTACTCGTTCAAGTGTGTATGTGTGTGTGCTTTTGAGGGAGAGTGAGCGCCAATGAACGAACCAACGGTAGATGATGGCAGAGAGTTTTGGGGTTTCTTTTTTTGTGGATGGTTTGTTTGCCAGAGTTTTTTGTGGTGTTTTGTTGTTGTTTGGCATTCATATGAGACAAAACCAACCATCCACACTCGTTCTCCCTGCCTGTTTTTTTCTCTTCTCCTTGTTGTGTTGATGAATACTCATATTAACGAAAAGATAAAAAACAACCATCGGCGTCTTTATTTTTACACATTCTTTTATTCTTTCTATTGTTGTTGTATTTGTTTATAAAAATACTTCCCGAATTTTCTATTTGTTTTTTTTTTTGTTATTATTTATTTATTTTTGTGCTAGCCTTTGTTGTTGTTTTTGATTCTGCAAATTGCAAAGTATAAAATAAATTTTGCTTACATGCTGCCAAACAAACATCTCTCTCAGACTCCCAGTAGTCTGTGCAATTTTACGCGTTGACTCATTCCTGTTTTTCTTGTATCTATTTTTATTAGTTATTTTTCTTTTCTTTATTATTTTATTTATTTTTTCTTTTTTGTTACTTATTTTCATTATTTCGTGGATTATCCACAAATTGTTTTTGGTCGTTTGTGTTGTGTTTTGCTTTTGTTTTACTGGTGCAAGGATCATCATTTTGAAGTCATCGAAATGTCAAGGATATAATGTGTGTGAGGGTTTTTTTGGTGGTGTGTGTGAGTGTGTTTACTCCACCTCAAGCTTTTTTGTTGTTGTTGTTATTATGCTATAAACAAATATTGCCAACCGCCATCGAAGGTCATTGAAATTGGTTTAAGTTTTGTTAATGGTATTATGTTTACACTACGCCATCGTTGCACATACCTACCTATCTGTCTACCTTGATATTCATTTCGTGATAGCAAACCATAATAATAATAAAACAAAATAAATATAAAGCTATATGAAAAAAAAAATCATTCAAGCAAAATGTTTATATGGAAAAGCTAAAAACAAAACCAAAATTAAGTCCATTTTTTTGGTGTTTTGCCTTCCGAAATTGTGAAGATTGTGCCATTTGATTGGCATGATTTTTTGAGAGGTTCTCATATCAAAATTGTGAAGATTTGGATATATGATTAGCTATTAATTAATAAATTTGTCAAACAAGTAGAAAATCTTTTGAATAGAATTCCCTGGAGCACAAATATGGAGTACAAGGCAATAACGACCCTATAACGGTCACCCTCAGGTTATCATTCAAATACGAATCGACGAATAATAAAAAATTGCTTTGGAGGAGGCTTCTCTTTTGAAATTGGGCGTAAAGGCTCCTGATTTATATATCAGTCCCTAAAGTAGGAATATAATTTTTTTTTTTTTAATTTTTAAGACCAAAAAAATATAAACTCTATTTTTCAGGGTTGTCTTCTGAAATTGTGAATAGTGGGACAACTAATTGACAATAGAGCTATTCTCAAGTTATATTTCAAATAAAAATCCGACAAATATAAAAACCCTTTCTGCTTAATTTAATTTTAGGTTCTCAACTCCGATTTGTTTGAATTTTTTACCACAGATAGGTCTTTCCCCTGTTCACGAAAAAAATAACATTTATGGGGCCCTTGAAAGTTCCGAAAATGTTATGAGGCGATACAATGTAAAAGGAAATTTTGTACCTGTCCGTAGGAGTAAGTCTTTATTTCCCTGGCGAAAGGCCCGGCTACTTGTGTAAAATAGAAAGTGAAATGGAATTGGGATCGCGTAGCCGAAATTTGCACCTGTGTCCATAGAAGAAAGTCGTAAATCCCCAGCCGAAAGCCGGCTACTAGGAAAAAAATATAATCTGAAAGATAATTGGGATCGCGTAGCTGAAATTTGCACCTGTCCATAAGAGAAAGCCTTAAATCCCCGACCGAAGGCCGCCACATTTAAAATTATGTTATTTTAAAAGGAAATTTTGATCGTGTAGCCGAAAGTCTAAATAAAATTTTTTTGAACTTTATTTTTAAACTAAAATGAGCTTAATGTGAAAGCACATTGTGTAAGCTTTACAACCATACCCATCTTTGCTTTAATTGGAGAAGTTATAAGAATATGAATTTTCGAAACTTTCAATGCTCATATCTCGGGAAGAATGGACTACCCCAATATAAGATGAGACTCTAAACCCAACTTCTTCCACTCTTTCTTTGAAGGCTCCTTTTTTGAAATGGGACACTAGGACATAAGGGCTTCTGATTTATAAATCTGTCCCTGAAGTGGGAAGAAAAACTGTTGAGGTGTAAGTTTTCCTGAGTGGTGAGTTCGAATTCGTTTTTCAATCAAATTAGTTTTAGTCCTAGGTCTGTCAACCCAGCCTATTGTGTAAAATGAATAGGGATGCTACATCAACAACCAAAAATTTTCGAGTTCGTCCTCTTTAGAGTATAGCCATCCCCATATTTGGCTATAATTTAGTAATTTAAATTTTCATTGGTTAGCAAATCTTCCTACCAAAAATGATTGATAGCGGTCTACTTTTTAAGGATAGTCCCCTTAGCTCTTTTAGAATACCAATTATTTTGTAATTTGTGCACGTTTTTAAATTAAATATTTTCTAATTTGGTTCGCATTGGGTTTTCTTAATCCTCAAATCAATATTTGGCATGACATACCGATCGATTGTAAGTTTTCTAGTCAACTGAACGAAACTTCGGTGATGAATTGAAGATTTTTTTTAAATAGTGGAACTTGGGAATTTCTTCTATCTGTCACATAGTATAGATGGTATTTCTCGCCCAGGAATCAGTTGCAGTTTGACATTTCCCTGCTTTCCAAAACTAGCTGACGTTAGTGGTCAACGGAATTTCCGTTATCATACAAGTCGATCCTTCCACATTCCATTAACTTACATTTGAATAATATCTTGCTGATTTGGTCCGTTAACGATTCAGAACGATTTGCAGTTTTTTGAATCTTCCGAATAATGACTGGAATATGTTTCTAGAGTAGAGGGCAAAGCCATCAAGATACCATCCACATCACGCCAAAATTCATCTTGAGTCTACAACCGTTTCTAAATTCTGATGTTTTAATCCGTTCCTGTAGACGCATAGTATTTCGTGCGACAAAAAGCGCCGAATTATTATTTCATACAATTGCAAATTTTTTGTCGGCTAAATGATGTAAAATCAACAAGTGAAAAAACATTAAGTTCGTCATGGCCGAACTTTGGATACCCTCCAACACAGGTATACTGATAGGTATTTGAAATGAAAAAGTGGACCGATATTTATAATTTTTAATAGAGATATTTGGTACTCAATAAGAACCCAATGTAACAAATTTCAGCGAATTCGGTTGAAAAGCGTGCTCAAGAACCCAAAAATACCGAAACTTGGGGGGTACCCTTATATGGGGGATATACGAAAAAATTGACCTATATTTATAATTTTTTGTGGAGAGATTTGGTACCTACTAAGAACTCAAAATACTAAATTACAGCCAATTCGGTGCTAAAATACGATAAAAAAAACCCCCAAAATACTGAAAATTGGGTGGTACCGTTATATGGGGGTTACAAGAAAAACTGGACATATATTTATAATTTTTTGTGGATACATTTACTACTCAATAATAACCCAATGTACCAAATTTCAGCGTATTCGGTTGAAAAACGCGCTCAAGAACGCCAAAATACCGAAAATTGGGGGGTACTGTTATATGGGAGCTATACCTAAACGTGGACTAATATATCCCATCATCGAACTTGACCTGCCTGCAAACAAAATACAAACCTATGCGAAATTTTAGCACCCTATCTCAATTCCTTCAAAATTTGGCGTGATTACAACAGACGGACAGACGGACGTACATGGATAGATCGTCTTAGAATTTTACCCTGATCTAAAATATATATACTTTATAGGGTCGGAAATGAATAATTCGATGAGTTACAAACGGAATGACAAAATTAATATACCCTCCATACTATGGTGGAGGGTATAAAAACACTATCCACAACTTATTCTTTGGGTAATACGATCCCAGTATTGGATTCTTAAAGTGAAGAACTTCATTACAGCCTACATTATTAAATACGAGCCGTGTATTCTGTACAAAAAACAGAGACTCTCAGAAACAGATAATGACTGCCATCCCTCCTGAGCGTACAGAGCTTACAGGTCCTGGTTAGTTGGTATAATATTTTACCGAGGTCACCCATATGACCTTGGTGATGCCGGCGGTTAAATGTTTCAAGAGACATTTTTTTAAGTCATTCTTTGCCATCTTAAAACCAGGGACTTTTTTAATCGGAACCCTAAAATTGATTTATTCACATATTGAGTGTATTCTGCTATTTTTTAACATCTGAAAACTATCCACCAGTGTCTGTACCCGTTGGAAAACCAAATACCCCAAGAAAACCCACTGGTATTCATTTTTTTTTTGTTTTGGTACAACATTCTACTCCTGCCTATACTTTTTTAATTCATATATTTAAAAACAACTCTTCAATATATTACATTTTTTATTTATAACTAAATCCATCATCAGAAGTATTTCCAAGAATTTTGATAATCCATATAAATATATACCTTACTTGGAATTTAATAATAATGTGTTTCATTGTAAAATTGTATATGATTAATAATCCAATGTAAGAAACTCCTCTGTGTTTTTTAAAAATATACGATGAAAATCAATATGCAATAAAAAACAAATGACTTCATATCTATAATTATTCCAAATATTTGTCGTTGTCTATTCATGACGAGAAATGGTAAAACACAACAAACATTTAGTTATGCATCATAGATGTTAA